CTCGTCCCTACAGTAAAGCAGAAGTCAGCCGGGCGTGGTAGCGCGCGCCTGCAGTTCCGGCCACCCGGAAGGCGGGGCGGACGGCCCCGGAGCCCAGCAGGCGAGGCTGGTGACCGGGGGCGCCGCTGCACTCGGGTCTGGGCGACGATGCGACTCCGACTCAGAAAAAAGAAAACCACGTGTGACTGGTGGCTTCCCCGTCGGACAGGTCTGCATAACGTGCCGCAGCTTTCTTTCCCTGCATTCTTTTTGATTCGAATGTGGCTTTGAGCCACCAGAAAAGTTGCCAGAATCACAGGGTGAAAGCCCGTGTCCCTTCATGCCGATGCCCCAGTCGCTACCATTTTTCCGCCTTTGCTCCTTGCTCTGTTTGTCTGTCTGTGTCTTTTCCCTGAGCCTTTGTAAGTTGCAGATGTGATGCTCCTTTGTCCGAAACACGACCCTGAGTACTCTCTAAGGCCAAGGACATTCTCTCACATAACCGCAGCACAACGACCAGAGCCAGGAGACATGCATGGACGGACACGAGGCTGGGGTAGCCCAGGGCTTTCACAGCAAGACCCCAGCCTGTGGCATCAGCGTCGCTCGGGGACTTGTTGGAAATGCTCGTTCCTGGCCTCCACCCCAGCCGTGAGGAGTCCACACTTCTGGGGTGGGTGCGTCCGTCTGTGGGTGACACACCCACCAGGTGCGCCTGTGATGTGGGAGTCGCCATCTAATCCAGTCTGTGTTCAAGTCCAGCTGTTGCCCTGAATTGTGTCCTCAGGAGGGACGTGTCCGTCAGGATGTTTTGTTGCCCAGGACCCATTCCGGAATCATTTGTGTTAACTTCTAAGTGGGCTGAGGGGCTCTCAGGAGGGGGTGTTGCCATGGTGACGCTGGCCAGGGTAGGGGGGTGGGGGGGAGCCGCTGCCGTTCCCTGGGCTCATGCCGAGCAGTGAGGCGGCCCCTCCCCGGCTCTGTCCATGGTCTCAGGGATTTTCTCACCTTCGGGCCCAGGCTTACCCGTCACTCGCACAGGCCTCGCCTGATCCTCTTTACTAAGGTAAACTAGCAACAAGGAGACAGCTGGTGTCCAGGCGTGCACCTTGCGGGAACACACCGTCACCACTGAAAGGGCCAGTCTCCTGCCCCAAGCTCTCTCTCTCTGCTGTAATTCAGTTCGGTGCCTTTCAAGGCTGAAGTAGGACCCCATCAGCGAGTCCTCCACGCACGCCTGTTCCCGGCCCTGTGGATGTGTCACGTCAGATCACGAGTCCACGGAAGCAACAGTGAACTCTCACCACTCTCACTTGAGCTCTCACCAGCTCCTTGGTGGGGAACAGTCCCAAAGCTGCCAAAAGGGCGGGTTATTCCCCATATCGGCACCCGCTGTTCTGCTCCAAGGCCCAGGAAGGAGGTGGAACCACATGCCGATCCCGTCCATCTGCGACAGCCTCACGCGTTTTCATCCTTGCCGAGGCTGTGTCCTTCAGGACGCCCTTCCTCCCAGGCCCGCCGCCTCAAGTCTCGCCCATCCTCCCAGACCCCAGCACACTTCTGTTGGCGTTTAAATTAAGGCTGCCCCCTTCCATCATCAGGGGTTCCCTCCCCCAAACAAAGGCTCCCACGACCTCCTGGCTGGAAGCCTGCACGGCCACGCCTCTCCTCGTGCGTGCATCTCGCGTGGCTCTCAGCACAATGAACGTCACACGGACCTCGGCGTGGGGCTGCTCTTTCTCCGGTCCCCTTCCTGTCCTGCCCCGGGCCCACAGAGGGAGCCACAGGGAGCAAGCTCTCAGGACGTTTCTGCTTTCGACGAATTCTGCACTCCTGGCTTCCCGCGGCCTCCCACCTCATTTCTGCCGGACATTGATGGCGAATGGTAAAGTGCTGGCTCCTTCCACCTGTCGGGGACGTCAGAAGTGTCTTTCCTGCCTTGACACACCTGACTAGAGACCTGGGACGCCGCCTGGAGCGCTTTGTGGGTGAGAAGTGTCTCCAGAAACCTGGACACTGAACTTGCAGACACCGCAGAGCGTGGACTTGGCCACATGCCTTAAGGACGGGGTGGTGTGCAGAGAACACTCGACTGCAGGGCAGGAGGTGGGAGGTGTTGGGCCCGTCCGCTTTCTGCGGGGGGCAGTGACACAGCTCCATGAAGCCTTACCGAGTCGATGTGAGTTCCCAACCTCAGCTGCACACTGGAGTCTCCCATCTCCTGAGAGCTCCGAAGGTCCTGAGGCCCCAGGTCCACCTCCAGGAAGTGCCTGAAGGGCGGGGTGTGGGCCAGGGGTCGGGATTTCCGACAGCTCTCCTGGGGTTCTAAGGTGCAGGCCGGACTAAGAACTATGGAAAAGGGAGAATGGCAGTAGTGTGGAAGCAGTCGAGTAGGAAAACGGAGAGTGGCTAGTGTAGAAACAGAGTCGTGGGGCAATCCTGTTTCTGGCCCCTTCCCGCTTGGGAGCTCTTCAGTCTTAATAAACTCCTGCTGACACACAGAGAAAGAAAGAGAGAGAGAGGGAGGGAGGGAGGGAGGAAGGAAGGAAGAAAGAAAAAGAAAGAAAGAAAGAAAGAAAAAGAAACAGAGTTGTTTAGGAATAGGGAAAGTGGTGGGGAAAACCCTTTGGGACCCTCCCACTGTGGGGGCTTTTCTGTCCTCCATAAATCCTGCATTCTCACTAAAAAGAAAAGAAAAGAAAAGAAAAGGGAGAGTGGCTAATGTAGCAACATGGAGTCAGATAGGAAAAAGGTGTCGGTGTTGACGAGCACTGAGCAAAGAGGATCCCAGCCCTGAGGCAGCGAGGCTGGCCTGGCGGTGGGTGTCATGGGGGTCAGGCCACGGGCTCGCTGCCCTTGTCATGAGGACCACCTGCTCGCTCTGCTTGCCCCGAGCCGCCTTCCACTCCCAGTCCTGTTCCTCAGTGAGCCCCTCCTAGCAGGAAAGCCGTGCCGGCCGACCAGGCCCTGCGCTCACCACGGCGAAGGCACTGGCATTCTGCATCACTGATTGATCCGGGAATCTGAGTTCCCAGAGGCGACAGTGATCCAGGGTCTTTCCAAAAGCCATTGCCAGCCCCAGCTCTGTGTCAGATGCAGTTACAGACGGAGCGGGGGTAAGAGCGATGATGCCATCGTCTTTGATGGACTCGCCGACAGGATTCATGAGCCTCTTCTGTCAACGACTGAAGCACGGGGGGGACGTGGGGCGAGTCTTGGGAAGGCCTGGTCCCAGGGCTGTGCGAGTGAACAGGAGAGAGGCCTTAGGCCTCAGGGCCACGGAGGGCTGGTGGATGTGAATTTGAACATGGCAAAGGTTTGGCCCAGAGGGCGGGACACGGACGTTTCATGGAAGGCAACGATGTGATGTAAGCCTCGGTGGTAGCAAAGCCCGGAGTCTCCCCCTTAACTGCCATGTGTGTGTTTGTAGTTACACATGTGTGCGTGACACCGTAGCTCGTTGATCACAACCAGAAAGTTAACATGTCTCTAGCGCACCTCCTAATGTGTTTCATCTGTTCTAGGGTCCACCCCAGGCTTCTGCGTTGCATTTAGATGTTTCCTTTGTCTTCTCCAATCTGTGACCGGTTTCCTCTCCAGCCATGTTCCTTATGACCGTGACACTTTGGATGAGCACTGGCAAGTTTTTTTGTGGAGTGTCTCTTACTGTGGGTCTATCTAGTGTTTTCTCGTGACTAGATTAAGGTCATGTATTCTGGGCAGGACTGGACAGAAGCGGGTGTCCTTCTCGGTACAGCGTAACAGGGGTGCAGGATGTTGGTATGTCCTGTCGTGGCCACTTTGATCACTCGGTTATGCGTCTTCTTTGGGTTTCTCTGCTGTAAAGTTGCTCTTTTCCCCTTTTGATTGATATGCAACTTGAGCAAGATGCTTTGAGGGTGTGCTGATAACCTGCTCTCCCCTAACCTTCGCCCACTGACTTCAGCACCCTTCTGTGGAAGCTGCCTGCAGCGAATGGTACTCTGTGGCGTTTGCCTAACTGCGAGGACCCGTTTCCCTCATTCTCTACATTTATGGTTGAGATTCTGCCTGAGAGAGAGAGCAGCTCCTCCTCCTCCTCCTTTGTGCATTGTTCAGTGGCCTGTTACTATCAGTTTGGACTGCTTTTGTAGTCATATGCGCTGTCGCCCAGCACTGTCATCTGTTAGTTTCTTGCTCAGATCGTTCCAGCCTTGGCTGCTGGGCTCCTTCAGGTTGGTGCCTGTTTCTTTGCTTTTTTTAACGTGCCCCTGTCCTTTTAGGAGGAGAAGTGAATTCTGGCTTAGTTCTGTTTCACAGATGAAGAAGCAGGACCCCAGAGAGGCGGAGGGACTTTCTGGCCATGATGTGACTGGATAGCGTGGACCCGCTCCTTCCCGTGGCTTGCTCTCACAGGCATCCTGAGCCTTCATCCTCCGTTTCTGTCCTGCACCCACGGGCTTGCAGGAGTGCGGGTCAGTGTGTACACACATGCGAATCCTACTGTCATGACCAGATTATTGATCGTTCTGTCTTCTCTTGATAGAAGGCGATAGGGCTTGTGGTGGAAACGGTGGACTTTAGCGTCACCTCTTCTGCTCAGATCCCGATCCACTTCCCAAGCAACTTAGTTCATGTCCCAGACTTTTTGTTTTTGAATCTTGAGAGAGTGTAATGGCACCTATTCTGTTAGGTTTTTAGTAGAGATTTGAGACAATGAGTGTTAAAAGTGACTAACACCACACTTGTTCAAGTGAGACTGACTGATACTGGCTGTGGTCACTCTGGTGGTTTCTCAACGTGCTTCTGTGTACAGAAGAAACTTCCAAAGTTAGTCCGAGGTCACAAGGTCTTAATTTAGTTTTTTGATTTGAGAAGTTGTCAAAAAATGTCAAAAGGTCTTGAGTAGCTGAGACTCCAAGAGTGCACCACCATGCTCGGCTAATTCTTTTTTTTTTTTTTTTTTGAGTTGGAGTCTCACTCTGTCGTCCACACTGGAGTGCAGCGGCTGCTCCTGGCCACCGCAGCCTCAAGCTGCTGGGCTCTGGCAATCCTTCTGCCTTAGCCTTCCAAGTAGCCAGAACTACAGGCGCGTGCTGCCATGCCCAGCTAATTTTTTTTTTTTTTTTTGAGTTGGAGTCTCACTCTGTGGCCCAGACTGGAGTGCAGTGGCTGCCCCTGGCCACTGCAGCCTCGACCTGTGGGCTCCGGCAATCCTTCCACCTCAGCCTTCCAAGTAGCTGGAACTACAGGCGCGCGCTACCACGCCTGGCGAATTTTTTGATTTATTGTAGAGATGAGGTCTCACCAAGTTGCCCAGGCGGGCCCCAATTTTGCAGGCTCAAGCTATCCACTCACCTCAGCCTCCCAAGTGCACGGGATTACAGGCTGAGCCACCGAGCCCATCTTTTTTTGTTGTTGTTGTTAGAGATGAGGTCTCGCTATGTTTCCCAGGCTCTTCTTGAACTCCTGGGCTCCAGTGATCCTCCCGCCTCAGCCTCCCAAAGTGCTGGGATTACAAGTATGAGCCAGCTGCTGTGCCCAGCCTCATTCTACTTTAGACCACAAATTAATTTCTTTTTCTTTTAACAAAATAAAACACATCCTTGGAGCTTACAGCTTTCCTTACCAAAAGCTCATCTTACCTTCCTTATGTAGTCACATATAGAGTTGTTTTTCTCATTATTTCTAGTCATTTTAGTTACATATATTAATTAGGATTCTTAGCCCTTAGTGACCTCAATTTCCAGGGAACACCAGGAAGCAAGTTGCCGTGAAATGTGTCACACCAGCAATCTGTAGATTGGAAAGTCCAGGAGTCGTGATTTCTAGGAGCATGTTTTTTTTTCCTATTATGTTTTTTCAGCATGGCACCGAGTGTTTACTAACAGTTCCACTGTCTTGTGGCTTGTGTGGCCCAACAGAGTTCTGATAAACCCTCGGGTTAGCAAGAGAGGAGACATGCAGGCAGGTTTGGAGAATGAGAAAGAAACCACGCTCTTTACAACAGGAGTCAAATCGTCAATTCACGTTATTTTGAATCCCAACAAGCTTTGGCATGATCTCCTTGGCGCAGAAAGTCCAGCAGGGACCTGCATGTGCTGGGCTGCAGGTGAGAGCTGGCTGTGCCTTTGACTTGTGATGGCCCTGGGTGGAAGCTGAGAAGATGCTGGGCCAGTATGTGCACGGCCACATGGCCTCGGGTCATCTGGGTAGGAGTCATTTCTTTCGGGCTGTCTCCTTGCGAGGTCTGGTGCGAATCCTCTCCCAACGACTCTGTTGTGAAGAGACCGTGACACACAGGCTCCCGTGAGCACGGAAGCCCTTCTCCCACGCTTCACGGGCCTGGGCTTTACATTCTGCAAGACAGGCACAGTGACACGGAGCCCATCTTTTCCTTTGGAGGAACCCTCCTCAGGCTGCTTCTGACTCCTCAGTGTTTTGCGGTAAAAAGGATCGAACATAAGGGCGCTCTAGGAGAACTTAACATTTAGTGTTTTTGTTCCTAGGACTTTAAAATGCTTCAAGACCAGGGCAGAGAGCTGAGCTCCACTGTGCAGAGGGGACGGGGTATTCAGGGGACAGAGCAGGGAGGAGGAAGAGCAGGGTCCAAAGAGACTGCACAAATCCAGAAAACATCCAGGAAGCAGGGCCAACCTAACTGAAGCCCATCAGGGTGTGCTACCTGGTACTCACCAAGGTTAGACCCCTGCCCTTCCTGGAGGCTGGATGCAGGTGCTCTGTCTTCAGGTGTTGCTCGAACAAACAGCAACTCTCTCAGCAGCCTTCCTCAGGCAGACACCTGGCGGGGGCAAGGTCATCCTCGGGTGGTGGCCTGGGGCTGCTGGAAACGGTGCCGGTGTTTGTTCAAGTCTTCATAGGTCAAGGTTGGGCCCCGTCGAGGGCTCGGAGGAGCCCGGCCAGGGCTTGGTGGAAGAGGGCGTCCTTGCCAGTGGCAGTTACGTGTGGCGGTGTGTCCTCACTTTCTCATGGTGATCTGTGATTGTTGTTAACTGTCGTTAAGAGAGCCTGATTTTAACATAGTAACCAAAAAATACGTGAACGACTTTGTTATTTTGTTTCAGGGCCGAGATCTGGACTATAAAATTCAGGAATATAAAGAAGCTGGAAAAGTCTTTCCCACGAAACAGATACTGGAGTGGTTTATCCAGCTGCTGCTGGGAGTTGACTACATGCATGAGAGGTATGTTCACCTGCCACTGGGGACAGGGTATTTTGAGCAGTCGTGTCTGAACTTGAAGAGTCAGTGAGAATTGTAGAGTTGAAAGGAAACAAGTCCAAAAGGTAAGGGGCTATCGGTAAACATCTGTCATATGCTTTTCCTTGAGGACGCTGTTGGATGATTGCATCCAGAGGCTTTGCGCACATGGCCTTTTCTGTCCTAGAAACAAGTTGGCCTTGGATGCAAGACAGAAACCTGTGTATGCACCACAGTCTCTTCTAGCTGCCATCTGTGAATCACAAAAGTTCTCAGATACGTTTAGCATGCTGTGAGTCTTCTGTGTCTTACAGCAGGCTTGAGTTATAAATACCTCAGTGTGCCACAGGTGAATTGCGGGGTCGCCTTGGAATGTGTCGGCGCACACCCAGCGGGGTCCGCTCCCAGGACGAGCTGAGGGATTGAGGCAGAAGGTCTTCTTTGGCCTCAGAGAGATGCGTCTTCAGACAGAAGCCAGTGTTGATGTGAATATCCGAAAAAGAGGGTCAAAGTATGTTTTATAATTTTCGATTTGCATTTACAATCTCTGCCGCCAAAACGTATTTTAAGACTTTCTATGATTTTTCTATAGATCAGAAGTAAGAAGTTTTAGATGTTAAATGTTTCATAGACTCATAAAATGATACGAACACGATTGAAAAGACGAACATACACAGACAAAGTAGTTACTCTGAGGCATCTCTAACCTGATCGTGTTCACCTTGGAAGTGGACACAACACGTGGTGACATTCTTCTTGAACAAAAGTGGTAATTTATAGGGCCCACCAAGGTCGGGCTGTCTGCGGATGTCAGATTGCTTGAATGTGTCATCTGTAGTTTCCGATAGCATAAAAAGTAATCGATTATTCTGTAATTCACCATGTATCTTCCAAAACAATGTTTGCTGACATAGATAGCTACTGATTTATTGGCAGCTCATAACAATATGCTGAATTATGTCATACTATCTTAAGAGACAATGATAAAAATATCAAATAATATTTTAATAAACTACCCCAAGCTGCTGACTGTAAGACTTCTGTATACATAACACTTTATTGGTATTTATTTCCTTTTCTTTGCTACTTCTTGGCATATTGTTAGGTCATACAGAGGAAAAATGGTAAAAAAGCAACGCATATCAAGTGCCAACTATGGTGTTCTGTGCACAAAACATAAAACTGAACTCTGGTTGATTTAGGAACTCAGATATTGATACATTTAAGACTGCTTAATAATAGTTAAAACAAATAAGCTTAAAGTAACTCTTCAAAGGGAGGCCTATAATTTTTTAAATTCTTCAATCTTCAAATAAAGTCATTAAGGATGACTAGATACTTGAATATTTATGGATCTGTTGATCTGAAACACCTTCCTTGGTGATTCTGATAACAAATGAAGGTTCCCTTTTTTCATCATGTCGGTATAATCGATTCGATTATACCTACAAGTCTTTATGACAGAGACATTTCTATTTTATGTTTCAGTTCATCCATTCACTTATCAAATAATGGTAAGTTAAAGATAAGTTCCAATCTCAAAGAGCTGGCAGTACACTAGCAGAGATAAGACACCGCACAGTGGTAAGCCGTGTGGCGTGGTGGCCGTCTCCCGACTTGCTCTACTCACACCCTTGAGTAAGCTGTTTTGCTGCTCTGAGCCTTTGCCTCCTCATGAGGAGAGCAGGGACGACAGTGGGACTCTCCTGCTCCCTTTACGGGGCTGTAGGAAATACATGTTGACACACTTGTAAAAGGGTCGCAGAAACATCGAGCTCTACGTAATGCCATTGCTTGTGGTTGTGATTCAAAATGGAAATCAGACCACAGCCAGCCAATGGGGTTAAAAAACTGTGGGAATAGTAAGTGTTGGCAAGGATTTGGAGCAGCTGGAATTGTCCTACATTATTGGTGTGCATCGATATAAACAATGTTTGAGAGTCTTTCCCTAAGCAAAACACGCAAATACCTGTGGCCCAGCATTTCTATTCCTGAGGGCAGAAACGAGTGCCGATAGCCCCAGGATGCACAGAAGTATGCACAGAAGCCTGGTTTCGTCTGCAGCAGAGGGTCTGTCATGTTGTGTGCAGTCATATGGCGGGCTTTTAAAGCAGCCACTCAGGAGAAAGAGCAGATGACTGGAGTGCGCGACCCAGGTGCGCCTCAGCGGTGAGAGGAGGGTCCAAGAAGGCCGATGCAAGAGTATCTGCCATGTGACTCGATTTGTGTGACCCTCGAAACCAGGCGAGACGAAGCTACGGGCAGTCAGGGCAGAGCTGGTGCTTGGAAAGGGGCCTTGAGGGGAGGGACACGGAGATGCCTCTGGGACGCTGGAGTGCTCCACATCTTGATCTGGATGGAGGGTTACGAGGGCAGCCTACATGGACGGCTTCCTCGGCCTTACCATTCACGCGTTCCAATGTAAAATAAGTGTCGTGTGTGCCAAAAAGTCCATGTGAGTGCTGCAGATCGGAAGAAGGATCACGTTTTCATTTGGGGGAACCCATGGGGGCTTCTCAGAAGCAGCAGCATTTGGCCCAACGTAGGTTTTGCGCATCGTGAAAGCTTGGTCAGCACCCTCTAAGTCTAAGAAACAGAGTGAGCAAAGGCAAGGAGGCGGGGAAGCATGGGACTTGGGAGCACGTGGTGAGTGGACCAGTCGGGAAGGTTTCAGGGTGGTGAAGAACGTGGCCAGCGAGGGAGGGTCGAGATGGAGAGGGCTCTGCTCTGCAGTGTAGACCTCGGATGCCGCGAGGACTTTCAAGTGGAGCTGAGTAGCATGACCCGAACTTGTCTCTGGAAGATTAGATGAGCATCGCACCGAGGAAAGAGGGACTTGGGTCATCAGGACTTTCTGTGATGCCCACAAATGGGCATGTGAGGCCTGAGCCAAGGTGGCAGCCGTGGGCCGGTGAGGGAGGGGAGGACGCAACTGCCACACCGAAGTGACTGGACTGGAAGTTACGTGGCTGTGTGCCATGTGAGGGGCCAGACAAGAGCCTGGTTCCGAGCCCGGGGGAGCCAGGAGGTGGAAAGACAGGCAGAAACCATGGTGTTGTGCTTAATTGTGAATGTGCTGGGCTGAGTATGGGGGGCGGGGGAGAGGGGGGAGAGAGAGACAGACAGAGAGGGAGAGGGGGAGG